CCGGGTTCGCTCGGGGTCCGCTAGGGCTGACCCCGAGCGAACCCGGAGCGGACCCAAAGCGAACCCCAAATTCAGTAGCGGTCCCAGAGAGCGAACGCGGGTTCGGTATTTCTTTACAGAGCTGTCAATCAGGATTAGCTTTAAACCAATCAGCGCATCAACCAATCAAAATAGCATATCAACCCGACGATTGGGATATAAGATCGAACGTGTTGATTTAATTCGATATAAATGCAAACCCTGTACATACAAGCAAAACGTGTGAATGTGCTGTGTAAATCTATTATGATTACAAAAATTATTATTTAATATTGATTTATCTTAATCCTCCGGGTAGCATATTTATATATTTATTTTCTTTTTTTATTAAGGCAATTAATTATTATGTTTTAATTTTCCACGTAGAATTATACATGAATATACACTATTAAATATGAAATACGTCTGGTTTATCGGGGTAAACTAAGGTGAAGTGCGATTTCCATAATTGAACGAATTAATTATGCTAATTAATCTCGACATTTAGTAAATCGTACATTGTTTCATTCACTCAAAAAGGCGTAACTATACTTGACAAAGAATAATCAGAGAAATATAATATAGAAGGGATATTTTAACATATGAATTATGATCTATTATAAATATTGAAATGTTTTTGGACTAATTATTGGGAAAAAATTATTGATAAAGGCGTAAGCAATACGTAGTTATGTGGGTTGTTCGAGAGTTGGTAACGCAAACTAACTGTAGAGTTACACTAAATTGAAGGAATAATCTTTTTATGTATCATCAGAAATTGCGTTAAATTCACGTTCATTCTGGTGAAGTCATTCAGTTTGTTAATACCATAAGGGCGGAATGACTTCAATCTGTGCATCCAGAAGGAAGATTTCCATATACACGCATTTTTTTCATGCCCAAGAAGATCAAGAAGTTTAACATGATTAAGAAGATCAATAATTTTGATGTAAATTTTGAGTAATTTAATGTAAAACGTAAATTGAGAAATCATAAATAAAACAATTAAATAATTAGAATTTTATAAAGACAATGTGTGTGTGAAATAGGGGGCCTATATTATTCTTATCGGGTCGGGAGAACAATTATTATTTGCCTTTTTCTTTATTCTGATAAAAATCATACTCGCTCCAAAATTCTGACCGTGAAAAAGATCTAAAATATACAGTGTAATTTTTTTTTAAATGTCCGGTAATTATTTATTACGAACTTTTAATGTGTAACTACTATGAATGAAATCTATATATATCAGATGTACAAAAGGTTACTGTACGTGTAATTTATAGATGCGAACAGATGTATTTTTAAACTATATAAAGCATGAATTTTAAAGGTATTTAGTTTAGATTTCTTTCGTCAATATCACTTGTACACCATTCGATACACTGAAAATCAATTCAACACTCTTTCCTTCCTCTTCTTTTTTGTTTTCTCGTTATAACTTAAGAATAATAAATGCCTTATAACCCGCCGTTAAATTAGTTTGAATTTCTCGGGATCGAAAAGTCAATGAAATCAATTATTCATGTACATATAAATCTTCGTCGAATGTAAAGTTGAATTTTAGAAAATTTATCAATGCTCTCCATTATATCACTGTTTACATGTACTGTGTACATATCAGCATCATCGCAAAAACAACAATGATCGATCCATAATACCATTACTGTATTGGAATAAACAAGGGGCGGGGCTAACTGGCGGTGAGATTAAAGCGGGGTCCGCTTCACGCATCAGTGCGTAAAGCGGTCCCAGGAAGCGAACGCCGGGTTCGCTCTAGCAGACCCAGAGCTGACCCCGAGCGAACGCGGAGCGAACCCGGAGCGCACCCAAAGCGCACCCGGAGCGGTCCCAAAATTTCTGAAAGCGAACCCGAAGCTGACCCCAATCGAACCCGGAAAGCGAACCCGGGGTCCGCTCCGGGTTCGCTCTGGTGTAAGGTTGTGTCCGGTCGGTACTGTAACTTATGTAATAAGGTATCATTTTAAAACATCTATTGGGATATAAATACGGGTTGGTCACGAGATTAAATTCCATAAATTCCAAAGGAATTTATTACTATTATTGAGAAAAAGATTTTTTTTTAAATCCTATATACATGTATGAGGGTTATCCAAAAAGCCGTAGACAAGGAAAACAGTTTTATAGTTTCTTTTTGTTTAATAAAATTTCTTTCCTTTACATAGCAAAAAGTAACATTTTATGATCATGCATTTCAGGATTCATGATGATATCATATCTAATAAGAAAATTGTGTAAAAGCAAAGAAAAAATGTAAGCTAAAGTGTACACCGCCGCACGCACGAAATTAAGCGTAAATTACCTCTTTTATAACGTCATGATCTCTTTGTCTGCTTCACTCGTGTGTATAACATGTAACATTCAATTTTTTTTCTAAAGTGATAGACCACTCTTGACTAAGGGACTATCCGGTATTTTAAATTCACTACTGTTCGTTTATCTTCATTTGTTTTTTTTTTTTTTTAGCAGATTCAAATTTTAATCGAAATTTAGTAGAAAGATCGCCTTACATGGGCTGACAGCAGAGAATACACATTGTTTAACATCGTTCGCAGTCCAGATTGTTCCCAATTGTCTGCGTTTAACAAACAGTATTCTACTTCTTACATGCCGTAACTATTTTCGATATAGAGAAAAAAAAACTCTCATTGAATATCGTGCCATTTAAAAATAACTTCTTCATGAAAATCTAGTGTGTAATGTCACTTCTGTTCTATTTGTTCCCGTCTCTGATGTATATAAACTATATCCAACACGATTTATTACATCTCCGTGCGCCGGGTACGCGTTTGACGACGTCATTTTCATCAAACTCAAATCCAACGATACTATGAAAATAATTACACCAATCGCCTGTTTCTAATGCTATTTATATAAAATTTTGAAGTATTATTGAGATTTGATTCTGGTTTCAGTGATTTCAATTAGAGTTCATTGTATTATAAAGTACTAAAGAAATAAAAGCAAATGTAATAGGTATATGCGTAAATTATTCCGAATTTTGTTCATGCGCCGACAGGCCTTATGTGGCCTTCATATAAATGGTCCTATTATTACTTATATGAAAGATATATATTAAAAAATTCACAATTTTGAACAAATTATGTCTTTGCAAAATTTGGTAAGTATTGGTTGTATGTTTAAAAATATATATATATTGTCTTTGGCTTTTTGGTACAACCGTCGTACTTGTACATGTGAATTCCTATGTAAAACTTTGCTTGTATATTGTGGTCTTGCCCTACTGCAGAGGGTCATGAGTGAATAATTAAACACGAATCTACATAACTCGGGGATGCTTTCATATACATGTAAATATGACCAATCATGGCTTTGCAGTTCTTGATAAAAACAAGAGGCCCAGGGGCCACAGCGCTCACCTGAGCACATCAGGCTTGAATTTAACCCCCCCCCCTCAGGCATTCATCATTTGAGCAAACTAGAATCTACACTAGCTGAGGATGATTCCATATAAATATCACTAGTCATAGCTTTGATGTACTTGAAAAGAAGATTTTAAAAGATTCCCCTATATATCCATATGTAAAATTTGGGTCGGCCATTTTGGCCCCACCCTAGCTCCGGGGGTCATGATTTGAAAAAAAATGAATCTACACTACCTGAGGATGATTCCACATGAGTTTCATCTTTCCTGGCCCAGTGGTTCTTGAGAAGAAGATTTTTAAAGATTTTTCCTATATATTCGTATGTAAAACTTGGGTCGGCCATTTTGGCCCCACCCTAGCCCCGGGGGTCATGATTTGAACAAACTAGAATCTACACTACCTGAGGATGATTCCACATGAGTTTCATCTTTCCTGGCCCAGTGGTTCTTGAGAAGATTTTTAAAGATTTTTCCTATGTATTCCTATGTAAAAACTTGGGTCGGCCATTTTGGCCCCACCCTAGCCCAGGGGGTCATGATTTGAACAAACTTGAATCTACACTACCTGAGTATGATTCCACAGGAGTTCCATCTTTCCTGGCCCAGTGGTTCTTAAGAAGAAGATATTTTTAAAATGCCATTAATTTTTCTCTAATTCATAATTATCTCACCTTGGGAAAGGACATGGCCCTTCATTTGAACAAACTTGAATCCCCTTCACCCAAGGATACTTTGTGCCAAGTTTGATTGAAATTGGCCCAGCGGCTCTTGAGAAGAAGTCGAAAATGTGAAAAGTTTACAGACAGACGGACAGACGGACAGACGGACAGACAGACAGACAGACAGACGGACGCCGGACAAAATGTGATCAGAAAAGCTAACTTGAGCCTTCGGCTCAGGTGAGCTAAAAACCCATATATATTCCTATATAAAATTTTTCTCGTTCACTTTGGCTCTGTCCCATCCCAGTGAGTAATGAATTAAACAAACTTGAATCTACACTTTGTGAAGACGCTACCAAATTGAAATGACCAAATTTACATTTTTCGTGACACAGTGGTCATTGAGAAGATGATTTTAATAACATGTCAGCAAATTTTCACTTTTTCTGAATTATCTCCCCCTCAATGGGAGCGCAACCCTTTATTTGAACAAAGAACTATATATGATCAGACCCAAATTGGGCCACCTAAAATCATCATTTTAGAATCATATTCCAATACCTTTGATAAATATTTGTTTTGTAGAAGAGATATTTTTCTCATTTATATACACTCATTGGCTGTAAATGACGTGAAATAATGCTATTTTGCTATCTAACGAAAAAATCCAAAAATGTGCCCTATTTTTTATTGTTTTTCTTATGAGAAACAAAGAGCACAGTGAAGAACATACATGAATTTTCTGCCACTAACTAGTATTTGATAGATAAATCTTTCTTAAAAATGTAAAGTTTGTTTTATTCTACGCTCAATATTTTCTAGAAGAAAAACTGCTTGAAAATAAGCAGTTTTATACAAAATATGCTAAAATGTCGGAAGAACTTTATGAAATCGTATTTATAAATCAACGGCATTTTGATTAAATTGAAAATAACCAATAGATGATGCATGTTTATCTGTACAAATAAAGCTATATATAAATTAAAATTACATTACAATGCTTAGTGGAAAGTTTGGTCAAAAATGGCTCAGTGATTTTGGAAGAGAAGTAAAAAATGTGAAAAGTTTTTAGACGTACGGACAGCTTGACTGACTGACTAAGGACAAAATATGATTAGGAAAGTGCACTTGAGCTTTCAGCTCAGGTGACCTCATATATAAATAAATAAATAATCATAATGTCCTATTGCGCCCCCACCCTTTCCCCTGGGTCATAATTTGAACAATGTAAAATCTACACTACATCAGATATATTTTCACCTAAGTTTTAGCTTTTCTGGTCCAGTGGTTCTTGAGATGAAAAATTTTAAATAACCCATTTTAATTTTTGTCGTTTCTTGATTATCTTCTCTAGGAAAGAAGACTCATTTTTTTTTTGCATTTTATGTTTTACATATCCCTTCACCCAAGGATGCTTTGTAGAAAATTTGGTTCAAATTAGCCCAGTGGTTCCTGCAAAGAAGTTGAAAATATGAAAAGTTTACAGACGGACAGACGAAAAGCTAGACGGAAGGATGGACATTGGATGATCAGCTGCGTCACTTTCTTCTAGTAAATTATACGTGCCAGTAGAAGATACCCCAGTAAAAGACTTCATTATCTTTCTTATTCCGACTATAGTCATAAACAAGGTCATTATCACTATCAAAACTGTGTTAAATATTGTCAAAACTAAAACATAGTTGTATCCGCTGATGTTCTGAACGTCTTGTCTTTGAATGGGTCCAGCACTAAAAAGAGAAACACAATGTTTCATTATGTAATTACAAAATTCGTATACAGGTTTCCGTACAAACCGATATATATGAGAATATTTTGTCTATCTTATCATGACCAAATTTAATTCATGATGTTCATGAGTATGGAATCCGGATAGGGCCATGCAGTTCACTATCGCATCATCGCACCATCGATAGTTGGGTTGATAATGCGATGACACGATAATGCGATGACGATGAAGCAATGGTACGATAAAGATGAATAATTGAGAATGCAATAATCATGGAAAGAATTATTGTAAAATCATCAATATATTCAGAAACTGAATCTCAACTCAAATCCAGCTATCATTTAAAACACGTGGGACAGCCAGAACATATAACTTACTTGGAAAAAAACGAAAAAGAAACTTTCATGTTTGTATTTTTTTTTCACGTCAGAAATCTACGGGAAAAAGTTATCGCAAGGGCATAAACTTGTTTCTTAGAAAATATTTACATTTGTTTATATCTCTCTTAGATGAACCTATTGAAGAGAAAACATGTTCAATTCTATATGAACTTTATTTGGGGGTCAGAGGTCATAGCACGATCGAATCGATCGGCGAGTTGATATCTTGTTTACATATATTTCTGTCTGTTTTCGGAACTACTAAGTTAAAAGCGATGATAAAGGTAAAATATCTGACACATATAGATATTTTTATTCAACAGATGTTCAATAGATCTTCCTTTGGTGTGAAGAATGTTTTAAAGACTATAATAATAAATAAAGCCGAAAAATGACTTACCTTTTCAACCCTAAATTTCTTTGAAGTTATGTTAAATAAAACAAGGGTTATCAACGCTTTTGACTTCAAATATATTAAAAAATCATAACATAGTAAGATTATTCTCGGTGGGGATCATTGTTCTTACATTATAAACACAGAATTCTTGAAATGGACTGCTGAACATCATTGTAAATGTCCAAATGTTGAAGCAAAACGAACTTTTAAACTAGACAAGTTCTAAGCCCCCTAGGTCATTGCGCGTCACAATATAGCAATGCAGCGGCCCGTTAGTGTAACAAACACAGTTTTATTCGTCTCAAATGTTGATATAAGCAATAAACAACAATGTTAAAAAGTTCACTAGGAAATGAACTTTTAGTTGGTACGTGATCAAATCTACTGAGAAGCCCTTCGGGCTTCACAGAGTTTGATCACGTGACCAACTAAAAGTTCATTTTCCAGAGAACTTTTTAACATTGTTGTTTATTTCTTAATTAGTTTTCCACTTTTAGCTGCAACTTAAACAATTCGCAAAAAGTCGATAAAAAAGGATATCAACTGTTCCTACGCCCTTTGAAGTGAAAACGTAGATGGTGAATATCTTGGGTATCTCCACTTATGTATTCGGATTTGAAAGGGAGTTAGCTGTAGTAGTTTGTCCCCTTTCTGATATTTAATTAAGGTTGTCGGCATGCATTTAAATGTTTTGAATGTATTACTTGATAAATAAATCTCTCACCAGTTTTTCTATCGTCCACTGGTTTCTCCATTTTCTGGCTAATTTCAAAATAGTTCATTTTATTACTTCCGTTTGATTTCCTCTCAATAGATCGCCATTTGCGTAATTAATTTTAAACACAGTTTCATCGAAATATGATATTTGGTTTATGAATATTTCTTTGAAATTTCTTTTGTGAATTTCAAACATTTAAAACAAACGAACATACACTGCTTTGTTCAGCTTTATCTAACATGCAGATAACTTCCGTCTCCAATTATAACATCTCTCAGCAATTTAACTTCTGGGACAAAATTTGCAGCTCGCGGTGGTGGCGTCAGTATATGGGTGATAATACTCGTGAAGGACGTCAAACAATATGCAACTTATTATACCAACTCTTCCAAACACTAATCTGTACGGTGAAATATCTGTCGTCTCATGTGATATAGCATTATACGCAAGATTGCCCCAGTCTGTCTGATTTGCACTCATATACGAGGGTCGTTAAAAAATTACGCGGACTCTGCTAGTATTTACTCTTACAGACGTAACGTAATTATAAATTTTCACAGAGATATGTATTTTAATGATTCCAATAATTTTTTGGCAAATCTTCTGTATTTTAAAAATTCTTCTATAATTATCGGTATGATGATATCGCTGATGGAGAAGTACGGAGAAGGACAAAAGATTTGAAACAAAAGCATGCAACAAAAATTAACTAGTTAATTTTAAAAAATTAAACTCGTTAATTTTCTATAATTCGTGATATTTTTTGACAAAGGTCACGAATGCATCTTTATATTGTTCAATTATTATGTATTTAGATTTCTGACGTGATATTTGAGGTACTAACTTTTTCTCCAAAGTGATTCCAGAGAAAACGACTGTGAAAATGACATCTCTTGAATTGACGGAGCACCACATTTGTTAAATTATGTGTAATGCTCAAGATATCGCCAACATAGATGCAAAATATGCATAATAAAACATGTAGTAAATTAGGGTATTTGTGACATTTGTCTACAAATAGCAGATCGGATTTTTAGAACGTTAGACCTCTGTAAAAAGTTATACGGGAGGACGGGAAGATTATCGACGAAAACTTTATCCGAACCGTAAAGAACGTGATTGAAAGTCACCAATGTCTTACTATATCTCATAAATACCTGCAGATTTTGGTTTCAAAAAAAATGATTTACCTGTTTAATAGATTTTAAGCTTAGCAAGAAATGGTGCATGGATGTTGAGTATAGAAGGTAACCCAAACTGTACAGGAACTCTTGGGAAAATGTTGAGAAAATGAAAGTTAAATCAAATATTTTTATAATGCCTGTGACGTCGAAGATTTTGCCGCTCCATGACTTAATGATATGTCCTGATAAATCCCCCAGATATTAGTTTACAACATTTAGATATGAAATTTTGAAGACCATATAAGTAAAGATTCTTTTATTTTATGTGTGACAATTTTGCCGTCAAAAATTTTTTCTGTGCGACAAGTCCGCTTGATTTTTGAACTGCCCTCATAGTTTTACTGCATGTCTTTAATTGTGTGATCTATTATGTCCACCATTACGTCAGACTGCAAAACTGTGATGTTCTCAACAAATGTACTAAAACATTACATATTCGTGCTCTGATTTCGGAAATGGTCCTGCAGTGTGAACTGCAATTCTTTTAAGGTGGCTCATTAAATCCAGAAATTATTTTAAATTTCATTACAGCATCATTTTTAATGTAGATGTCAAATATCCAAATGGAGGTATTGATATCATAAACATTTTTTAGTGAATTTTTAAATCTTTTTTTTTCTAATTTTAGTGTTTTATTTCAAATTTATTATTACCAAAATTCAAAACTTTCAGTGTCAATTGCTCTTCTTTAAATAAGTACACACAATGAAAATACTTCATAATACCTAATATCAATTGTATTAAAAGAATTAATTAAGTTCTCCTAAATAGTTCTCCTATTGTCATTTTCTTTTTAATCTGTGCATAAAATATTAAGAAAATTAGCTCTGAAGGGAGAAGGAGAGTATTTCAATAAATTGCATGTGTCAAATTGAATGAGTAATGTTTTAAGAATAAGCATAATAAATCCGTTACTTTGTTTGAATTACTGTTTACATCATTGCATGTTTCGACTATATTTAAAGCGATTTTAATGTTAAGGTCATATTATAAAGGTACCTGTACAATTCGTCCCTAGAGAAAAACAGCCGAAACACTAGAGATTTGTTTTTTGTGTAGTAAGTCATCAGAAAGTGGTGTAATGAGCCTCCTTACATGTTTTTTTCTTAGCTCAGGAAATTGTTCATGTGTGATATCTCTTTTCCTCACCTAACAAATATTATAAGCTGATACAAAGTCCTGATTATACTGACGTATTATAAGAAACAATAATGTGGATTTCTTACTAGTATTCTCGTTATAATGCTTTTTGTACTCCTATATGTCATACCACAGCACATGACAGATGTTTCGAATTCGTAGTTAGCATATTTTATTTCCTCATTTTTGTCTACGAATACACATCACACCACAGATAATGCACAATAAGTCCCATCTTGATTACCAGAATTTACTCCGAATTTTCTCCAGGTATCACTGATACTGGAGTTTTTAAAAATTATTTTCCTGCCATTGAATTGATTATTACTTGCATTCACCTGTGTTTACCCCGATTCTTACGTATATATCATCATGGGCTGCGTACGTGCTTTTGCTCTGCAGTTCTGTTAGATTTTGTGTTTAGAGAAAGCGTATCATCAGAACATTACGAAGTATTTAAATGAACATCGTTTTTTCCTCATCAAATACTGTAAACATATTACATTTGGTGGTGTATTCTTGTTATCGCTTTTGGCGGAAAGATACTCCCGCTAATTCAAGTATATCGCTAAATGTCTTAAACATTGATAAACATCGAATAAGAACATCAAGAAATATGCTAAATAAAATCTACGCTAACTTGTTTAAAAATCATTATCCGCTAAATATCGTACACGCCAATATAATACATTTACAGTAACAGGTTAAGTTTTAACACACTTTCATGGTCATTATCTGTAGAATAATTCCTTAGTTCTTTCTTACATAGAAAAAGAACCTCTGATTGCCGTTGTTTTTTTTCCGAGTTTACATTATTTGTAGTTTACTACTTATTTACTCGAGATAATGTATCAGCACTTCCATGTCGTTTTCCTGTCCGGTGTTCGATCTGGAACACGTATGGTCCAAGTTGCTGTATCCAACGCGCAATTTAACTATTTGGTCTATATCTATATCTATGGAGCCAGATAATCAAGAAAATCTGCCACTCGGTCAAGTTTGCATCCTTAATAGTTAATGCATTCAGTCGAAATAATCAACACATAATCTCCAAGATTTTAGATTTTTTTTTCGGTACTTACACAAGAGGTAGGACCACAGGCTATTAGATCTCTAAATCATGTCCTGTTCTTCCAGTTTTCGGAGGTCCTAGTTCATGTTTTTTCTCTTCAAATTCTGAAC